CGGCATAGTCTCTTCTTAATTTCTTATCATTCATTCTAACCTGTAGAAAAATTTTGTCATGCAATCTATCCGCTACTCGTCGAACCTTAAAGAAGTCTTCTGAACTAAGAGCTTAACGATAATTTACTTGGCTTAGTGTTTCTGTGAATTATCGTTAAGCATGCCACCCTTCTCTGACGATGTCCGCCACATGACGGACAAAAGCTCAGCAAAGATTCAAGGGGGTTGCACAGCGGTGCGCTGAAGACCCATTCGCACAAACCTACAATGACAGCTCTAAGGCAATCCCCCTAAATCTTCCGACGAGACTTATCTATCAATCCCTTCCACTCGCCTCTTCAAACAAAATGAAAGGTACTCCAACATCAATCCATTAAGGGATTCTTCGAAATCTAGTTGTTCTACATAGATAGGCAACGATTTTTATATATAGCAGGCAGCAAGTAAGAAACAGGGTAGAAAAGGGATTAAATGAAAGTCATAAGCCCAGAGCACAGCATCTGAAGGCACTGGTGAAGGTGATTACACATAACTAACTTCCATTGAAATGACACCCTTCGATGACATTGGGGCAAACGAGAATGCAGAATGTTGTGAATAAGTAAGTGGGTCATATGAAATGAGGTTGAAAGATGGTGGTACAATGCTAGAAGTAGGACAAAGGGTGGAGAAGTAATGTCACAAAAGTTGAACAAAAAATTTGTCAATGGGATTGCCCTTATTTATCAATGATATGTTGTAACTGTAATAAGGATGGTGCCCAGCACTAACAGTGCAAATGAAGAGTCTGGGGACCTATCAGATCGGGAGTCGCATACAATCTCACTACGAAATGTGATATTGGTAAACGCTTGGCCTTCCTTGAAATTCATATCTATCCTGTGATCCAAGTGAAGTGGCGTGGTGGTTAATGTGTCTAGAGTAATCGCTGCAGTGCCATGATCAAACTCCCGCTGGGGTGTTGATAAGATTCTCGTATCAAGTTGTGAAAACGAGGTCAAACCTACTACTTCCTACTACCTACTTCATATAATCCATTTACCTATTCACACCATTCTGTGCTCTCGTTTCCTCCGATGTCGCTTAAGAGTATTTCTACAAGTGTATTTAGCGAAGCACAATCATCTTTACTACCGGTTCCAGATGCCATTTGCAGGGTTCTTGGATCATGGCTTTTTACCATCATTTGCCCCTCATCCTCTTCCATCCCGCTTGTCAATTTGTCCCCGCCACACATGAAAATCATTATCTGACTGTACGAACTCTGGGTGCCTATGAGCATTCAATCCCCGTCCCCGTTTTGTCATATTAGAGGATTTAGAGTAGGTGACATCCATGCCTAGGCTTCGGACGCATCATTTAGTTATGCTCTTTCTCATCCCGACATGCATACACACGCACGAACATTGGGGCCCAACTAATATTGTGCTCCCTAGGTCGGTAACACACCCTGATGAATTTGATAGGGTTATAGCTTAGCCTCTTTAATCAAAAGTATGAAGACCAAGATGGTGTGGCCTTTTGGGTGGTCACAGTATCCTGTCCTTGAATAAAAATTGTGTAACCTTGTTTTTGCAACTTGGTCATATTGGTACTTAGAGGAATGTACCTAGTCCGGAGTCCATTGTATGCATGATAATTTCCAAAGTCGGACCGTAGACATGGCACATTCCTAGAAGTTTCGCCGGCATGGTCAATGAGTCTCGCCATTCTTAGTACCACACAACAACTCGTCAAAGAGACAAGTGAAGCCGATCCTTTGACCAAACGCGTGCTAAACATTTTTGGCATCTCCATATCTGCCCTGGTCTATTCATATTTCCTACATCCTCCTATCACGCCTTCCCTTACAATATTTACCGTGCTTATTTAGATGTAGTGTGGTGTGCGCCTTTGAGCGGCATTAATAAAAACCCTTCACACTTTAAGCTATCGTCCTCACCCCCTTCACTCTTGTGCTGGGAATGTTGATCAGTCTGCCATATTGTTACGCAGTCCTCCTTCTATAGGTCTTATGAATCTATCTCTTGCCCCGTGAGATCCGTCTACTATATCCCTGGTTCACATATTTCACTCGACCCCTGCCACCCCATCTGTGCTATTCGAGGAGTTATTCGCCCTCTCCTGTGTCTGGGTGGCTAATTCGAGGCTAAAGCCTTTGAGTAAGTTTCATCGTCAAGTCTTTACTACATGGACCACGTCTTTGGTAAAACCTACTGTCAGCCAACTAGATCGAGTCTCCGCCGCGTCTATCCAGTTTCTATCCCTAATATCAAGTCTATGACTTGCTATGCCTTAGTCTCTTGTGTGCTAACCTACACATGTTGTGGTACTGCTTGCTTGGATTCGGTTTAATGTTGAACCACAACGTTTGTGGGTTGGCACACAAGAGACTAGGACATGAGAAGTTATAGACGTGTTATTATAAATAGAAAGAGGATAGAAACAGTGGAAGCTAGAGCTAGTTGGCTAACAATAGTCGTGATTCAAGGATCACGTGTAAGATCAAACACGTCTATTGTTAGCCAAATAGATCGAGTCTCCACTGCGTCTTCCCTGTTTCCACCTGTAATACCATGACTATCACTTCCTATGTCCTAGTCTCTTGTGTGCTAACCCACAATTGTCGTGGTTCTACTTGTTTTGATTAGTCTCACTGAAGTCGTCTCCTTTTTGCTTCTGATTGTTCCTTTCTCGTCCCCTTGCGATCTCTTTTCCTAAAATATATGATATTACCTTGATCCAATCGTCTTCTTTTTGCTGATCTTTCTGTTGCCTGGTCCTCTCCGAGTCTGTTAGGGTCAATCCTGCCATTTGGCAATCTAATGAGGAAGTGTCATTTGGACACAGTTAATGAAATACTTTATCACGCCTCCATCCAGAAATTACAGAAAAGTTACGAGAGTGAGAGGCGTAAGCTATTTAAGTTCATAGATCTCAAGTCTACATTAAGGAAGGATCTAGGTAGGTTTCTCACTGTATGATTTTCAAGAACTCGAGAGCATGACCTACCAAAGGTCACGGAATCTGATAAATAAGCGGCATGACAAGAAATTGTTTAGCTATGGGATGATAAGATAGCGCAGGACCAAGCCAATCCGGACAAATTTTGATGGTTATTTATTGAAGGCATTAACTGCTACAGACGTCGAGAAGACTAAGATAGTAAACCTATCTTCAATCCCTCTTGATTTGCCACAAAAGGGCACAAATTTTGACGAGTGGAATGTAAATAAGTGAGAAGTAGTGATAGGGAGGCAGTGAGATAGTAGTGTAAACCAGGGATATAGCAGACGGATCTTACGGGGCAAGAGAGAGACTGTGATAAGACCTATGGAAGGAGGACTGCGTAACAATATAGCAGACTGATCAACATTCCCAACACAAGGGTGAAATGGGGGGAGAACGACAGCGTGGAGTGTGAAGGGTTTTAATTAATGCGACTCAAAGGAGCACACTACACTACAAATAAATAAGCACGGTAAATATTGTGAGGGCGTGATAGGAGGATATAGAAAATATGGATAGCCCAGGGCAGAGCTGGAACTCATTCTTGTTAACGTCTCAAGTTAAAACTAGGGCAAAGACTGTTCAACTCTATCATGCCTCTTATATAGACTCAATTAAGCAAAATAAAATAAAAAAACCTAGATAGATGTAGGATTGTTTGGCTAATTATCTTCCATATACGGGATTAAACCTACCTCTGGCGAGATCGACTTACGAATCTCTTCTTGTGCACTTTCATACGAAATGAAAGTCCCCCCAACAATATTATCTCAGGAGATTCATCGAAACCCTATTATTCTTCATATTTGAATTATGCTGTTTCATTACACGTATTTTTTAAACAATCATGTAAGTATGACTTCTTTTGGGCTACAAACACAATGCATATCTTCAAAAAAGCATATACCAAAGAGGTTATTGTATAGGAAAAAGCTTGAAACATGAGGGCTTGTATATTTAGATGAAATAGAATGCAAATGAGTCCAATTAAATTTTGAAATTGGAACAGAGGAAAATATGGTGAATTTTAGACTGCAAAGAACTATAAACGTGCTCAAACACTCGCGAACTTAAATAGTACCAATTATTATATAGAGGTTAAATACTGAGGTAAAGCTAATTAGAGCAAACGAAGCTGCATTTTCTATCAGTCTACCCACTGGACATCAAAAATTAAAAACTCACATTTTCTTGTTTCCGTTTATATTCATTCGGGTAATTTGAGGAAGAAGTTGAAGAAATAGTTGAGCAACGAAGTCCCCCATGCCATCAAATACAAACCTAAGAATGTAAAAGGGAGTGACAATATATGGGAACGCTTAACAATCAGGCAAAATAAAAGTTGGATATGTTGTCCGTAGCATAGTTTACATATCATAATCAAAAAACCATACTTTATCCAAAGAAATGAATACCAAGATGGTGTGGCCTTTTGTGTGAACGCCGTCTCCTTCCGTTTGACATTGTTTTCGCAACTTGGCCATATTGGTAGGAAGACTTAGAGGAACGCACCTTGTCCGGAGTCCATTGTATGCATGATCATTTCCAAAGTCTGACCGTGGACGTGGTACATTCCCAGACGTTTAGCCGGCATCGTCAGTGAGTTTTTGCCATTCTTAGCACCATACTACAACTCGTCAAAGAGACAAGTGAAGCAGATCCTTAGACCAAATATGTGCTAAACAGTTCTGCCCTAGTCTATTCACATTTAGTATATCCTCGTATCACGCTACAATTTCTAAGTGTTTATTTAGATGTAGTGTGGTGTGCCCTTTTTAGCGGCGTTTATGAAAAACCTACACACTCCACCCTGGCGTTCTCACCCCCCCTTCATCCCTGTGCTGGGAAGGTTGATCAGAGTGTGTCATATTGTTACGCAGTCCCCATTCCCCAGGTCTCATCAGTCTCCCTCTTGCCTTGTAGGATCCGTCTGCTATCTCCCTGATTTAAGTATTTCACTCGACCTCTGCCACCCCATCTGTGTTACTCGAGGGGTTATCACCCACACCTTGCGTCTAAGTGATTAATTCGCGGCTGAAACATCTAAGTAAGTCTCAGTGTCAAGCCTTTGCTACATAGACCACGTCTCTTGTAGAACCTACTGTCAGTCAACTAGCTCCAGTCTACGTCGCATCTATACTGTTTCTAATCCTAATACCAAGTCTATGACTTCCTATGCCTTAGTCTCTTGTGTTCCAACCCACAAATGTTGTGGTATGCTAGCTTTGATTAGGTTCAATGTTGAACCACAACGTTTTTTGGTTGGCACACAAGGGACTAGGGCATAGCAAGTCAGAGACTTGCTATTAGGAATAGAAAAAGGATAGACACGGAGGAGACTGGGGCTAGTTGGCAGACAGTAGATTTTACCAGAGATGTGGTCGATGTAGCAAAGGCTTGACCACGTGACTTACTCAGAGGCTTTAGCGTCGAATTAGTCACTCAGAAACGGGGTAATAAGGCCTCGAGTAGCGCAGATGTGGTGGCAGGGGTTGAGTGAAATACTGGAACCATGGAGATAGCAGAGGGTTTCTACGGGGTAATAGGAAGACTCAAATAAGACCTAGAGGAGGAGGGCGTTACAATATGGCAGACTGATCAACATTGCCAACACAAGGATGAAGGGGGTATGAGAACGCCATTGTAGAATATGGAGGGTTCGCATTAATGCCGCTCAAAAGTGTTCATCACACTACACCTAAATAAGCACGGTTAAAAATTGTACCAGTGGAAGCGCGTGATACGATGATATAGAAAATGTGAATAGCCCAGGGGTGAAGGAAAGATACCACAAATTCTTAGCACAGGTTTGGTCAAAGGATTTGCTTCACCTGTCTCTGTGACAAATTGTAGTATGGTGCTAAGAATGACAAAAACTCACTGACGATGCCGGTGAAACGACTGGGAATGTACCACGTACACGGTCCAACTCTAGAAATGATCATGCATACAATGGACTCCATACTAGGTGAGTTCTTCTAAGTCTCCCTACCAATATGACCAAGTTGCGAAAACAAGGTCAAACAACTTTTAAAAATACTTTATACTCAAGAAATAGATTATATTAGGTACACTCCCCAAGACTGCAAGAGGCACAGAATGGGTGAATATATATGCTAAGAAGAATTGATTGAAAGTATGAAGACCAACAAGGTATGGTCTTTTTTGGGGTCGCAGTCTCCTTCCATTGTATAGAAGTTGTTTGACCTTGTTTTCGCAACTTGGTTATATTGGTAGGA